CATGCACATAAAAACTAAGACATATTATTTTTATTATTAATATTTATGATAGTTTTATAGGATGAAAAAGAAAATCAAATATCAGCAATCATAAATGCATTGGCAAAATTTTTGCCAACACGTGCCTTTTCCATTCTTGTAATCCTTAAGACACTCGGTGGTACACCAATTTGCTTCACATGCCTTTGGAAATGTTATTTCAATATAGTCAACACACGTATGTCCTTGCGTCTCTTTTGTCACCATCCCTAATATAAATTTTTGTTATGATAAAAGGCAACAAATAAAAGAAAACTATAGAGTAAAAGAGAAAAAAACGTGAAAATACATAACATAGATTTAAACTTTTGAATATTAATCATATATTATGTTAAAAATGTGAATCAAACCTAGAACGAGAACGACCATAAAGATAGCAATAACAGTGGCTTTAGACATTTTTGATGGTACAATCAAAATGAAAACTTCAAAATAAAATGAAATGGATGTTATGAATACTGTATATATAATAAAAATTTAGATGCATGCCTGAACTATAAAAGATAAAAAAGAAAAAGTAGATTCTCCAAATGACTAAATATCATAACAAAACAAATACTCCCTCCGTTTTCGAATAGTTGTCGTTTTAGAGCATTTTTTTTGTTTTAAATTAGTTGTCGTTTTAAGGTAATAATGTAACTTATGCCAATAACTACCCAAATTACCCTCATTTAATTACACACAAATTATTTGTAAATAATTACTTGTCATTTTTATGAGGTTAATATAGTCATTGTATACATTTTCTAAATTTGTCTAAATACAGTTAAAACGACAACTTTTCAAAAACAGAGGGAGTAAGAAAGATCTCTAAAAATTAACTAAAAGGGAATTTTGACTAAAAAGTGATCAAAACATATATAACGTCATAAAAGTAGTCAACAAATATTGAATTTTTTTTTAACACATATTGGAAAACTTTTTATTTGAAAAACATCCAATAAGTAATTAAAGATATGCTGTAAATAGAAAATTTTATAAAACTATAGACAGAGAAAAGCTATGAATCAAACAAAAGAAAATTCCCTTAAAACTTTTAACTAAAAATTAACAAAAAATAAATAAATAAAAAATAAAGTGGTAGAAATATCAAAAAAAAAATATAGACTAATTAATTTATTTTATTTAAAGATTAATTCACTAACTTTGAAAAATCACGTAAACCGGGACATAACAAGCCCCGACTACGAACTATTTATGAAGAAATGAAAACCTCATGATCTTTTGAGGCAGGTCCGGTCCACGAGCCAAGCAAGTGAAACAATGGATTAGGGCATCAAAATTTTGGGGCCGCTTTTTCAGAGAATTGTTTTTTGTTTTTTTCTTTTTTTTATATAGAAACTATGTTATAGGTTTTTTTCTAAGATCAATATTTTTTTGGGTTTTCTTTTAATCATACTTGTGTGCTTTAAACTAACATTTGTGTATATTCCACGCATGTTGAAGATAGTTGTTATAAAATTGATATTTTTATAAATATGTTAATTTTCTTAAAACGAAGAGTTGATTTACAAAAGAGTTTTAACAGTTTAAAATCAATTAACCTTACCAAAAAAAAGTAAAAGATAAGGTAAATTTAGCAAGTGAGCATAAGTAAAAAAAGAAAACATTTTTCTTTTGCATAAAAATGTAGATATGTTTTTTTTTTAATATGTGTAGGGCATCCGAAAACATTGGACCAACCTTGTTTCGAGGAAATTTCAAAATAATATGGGCGTCAACATTATCTCTTCCTGAAACTCTTCTAAACAAACACAACATATGCTAATGGCCTAGTAGAATAGAACATGCGCGCAAGTATAAGACATTCATTACATATTATTACTTAGATTGGAAACAAGCACTTGGAAGACCTAAAGAAAATGCAGAAAAATAATGGGTGTGTATTGATGAATTCAAATCGATTACTAATAAGGACGTCATGAGAACTAAGGCTAATCAAGAAGATATATTACATGTATCTTTTGGACCAATGACAAGCGTCTGCACTTAGAAGTTAAAACGACGTACTTAAATGCTGATTCTAGAGGTTATGGATAACGAATCCATTTAGAAGTCCATTGGAAAAGATTTCTATCAAATACAACTTAGTTTTTGCCTAAGAATACACCCAAAAATTCTAGAAGAATGAGATATAATAGTAGTCAAGATATGTGACAAATGAAAATACAGATCAACAGTAACCTTTTTAATCATCATCATGGAGAAGAAGAAATTTTGAATCAATTTTTTTTATCTCAAAATCAGACTCATGCAGTATCTAATTTTTCAATACATAAGCCCATCTTTTTCTTTAAATACATGTAATCTTTATATGAAAAATGCATGAGCCAACTTTTCAATTACAGTAAAACCTCTATAAATTAATAATGTTGGGACCATGAAATTTTATTAATTTAGAGAGGTATTAATTTATCGATAAATTAATAATTATTAATTTATAGAGAGATTTAACTAATTTTATAATTTTTAAAAATATTTCTATCTAAAAATAAATTTTTTCTTTATAAGCAATATCTTTTTAAAATCAATTGCAAGTAGAGAAGTAATTATTAAGTTTAAAAAAACAATACAAACTTTTTTCGAATAATAGAATCATATTTCATTAAATTATTACATATAATATTTTAAATATATATCATAGTAATTCATATATGACATATATATATAAAGTTAAATATACATATATATATTGATAAGTTTATACAATTATTAATTTATAATATAGATGGGACCATATGTTTACATGAAATTTTCAAAAAAATTATTATCTTATTAATTTATCGATTTATGTCATATTTTACACTGGTCCCAACTCGGGACCGGAAGAATTTATTAATTTAGAGAGGTTATTAATTTATAGAGTATTAATTTATTGAGGTTTTACTGTAAATGTTTTTTTTTTTTCTTTTGGGTGAGAGTGATTCTCATTTAGTTTCTTTTGAATTTCCAAGACTTGGGGTGAATCACTTATCCTTCTATTATGTACAATTTAGTTTAGACGTATTTTAAAGTGGCACATGTACTTTAGCTTAGAAGAATTACTTAGAGCCATTGTTTAGTTTAATTGTTGGCGCTTTGGACCGACTCTATAAATGTATATTTAATTATTCTACAAAAGTTTTATTAACTCGATGAGTACTTAGAGCCACTTGCCATTCAGTTTTTCCTATGTAGTATGACCACACTACTTGGTACAAGGAGCGCTTGCGGTCTGAGTGGTCATACAGCGAAAGATACTAGAAACTCTTTCCAAGTAGGTACACACAAATATTAACCCCATATGTACATACTCTACACATAAAATTATTTATCCTCGTACATCTAAGGATTTGTTTGTCGACCGGTTGATACAAACGACAAAGAAAATAAGTAATAGCACTCAAGAACTCCATACTTTTCTAACCCTACCAAACGTTAGCTTTATCCGGTATAGTTCGTGACATATTTTAGTAAAACAATTATTCCTCATGGAGAAAAGGGTTTCATATCAATTTCATTATTTTCATTCTCTTGATTTAACTCTCTGTGTGTATTGATATCTTTACTCTCACCCTTCTTTTCTAAAAAAACTTCATTTTCTCATCTTGATCTCATCATTAAACCTAATTTTTCTTTTCTGGTTTTCCAATTCTTTCTAGTTTCCGTCAAAATTTCACTGTTAAAATTACTAAAACTTGAAAGTCACAGAGTTATCGGAAAACATTGCACCATGTTTCAAGATTTCCATGTGTTTTTCTCTTATTTATTTATAGAAATTTTTAATTTCTTCTAGCATGGATGCAGCCGACATATTTTCTTACCAATATTTTTCAAGTGAAGTTTTTTTTTTTTTTTTTTTTTTTTTTTTTTTTTTTTTTTTTTCAAGTGAAGTTGATAAACAAGAATGATAATAGCTATGTTGATTTGAGGTAATTGTAATTTTTGAGGTAAAATCTTTTGTTCTTTTTAATGATTTTGTTGTCAAACAATCTTTTTAATGTATATTACATCCTATAAAACTGACAATTCGCTTTAACAATCAAATAGTATTAATATACCAAATGAACATAAACTTATCCGAAATTTATAATATTCTTCTGAATGATGAAAGTAAAAAACTAAAAAAAACTCAATTATGTTCGTAAACTATCACAAGAAAAATCTAATTCAACTTGTTTTATGACCATTTACACTGTACCAAATCATCATCCGTAAAATAATGATAAATATTACCATTAACAAACCAAAAAGAAAATTACGTGGGAGTCGAAAAAGTCAAATATCTAGAAGAAAACTTCTTCTCACAATGTTATTATGCTTCGAGAAATACCTTTTCCCCATTCACGTTATGTTATGCAACGTGTGGGGATGACGAGTGGACAACACATACCTTATCTTATTTTATTGGTCAACCAACCCCAAAATAGATTTTAAGAGGGATTATATTTCTTTGTCAACTGTTTAGATGATTAAATAAAACAGTTTCACTAAAACTTGTTAAATTGTCATGTCATGTATATTATAAAGGTACAAAATGGAACGAACCCAATTAACAATTTTATTTTATTTTTTCTTGTCACCATTGGACCATAATCAGATATAAACAGAGATTGATAAAGAGCCACCCAAAATATTTTCACAATTTGATATATTTTAGTAGACATTAAACTGCTCCGTGAAAATACATACTATGTGATGTCAACGAAACATATACAAAACTCATTATATCTAATAAAGAAAACGAAATAAATAATAATTTACATAAAATAGTGAGAAATACCGTTTCAATGATTTTGTCTCCTAACGTTTTCAATGTTATTTTTTGGTCTCTGACTCTTCAAGGAAACTGGTAAAACCGGTGTCCCGGTAGTCATCACTCTCATCTTCTCCACCACGTGTCACTCTTATATGGTCATAAGTTTTCCCACCTTTCTACGTCCAATTCTGTATTTATATACCCTAAACCCATCTTCTTCTACATGCTCTTATTTCACAATCCCACCAAAACAAATCTCAAGAACCTTTCAAGATTCAGAAAAAAAAAACTCGTAACTTTTTTTCTTTTGTTTCTGTCGAATTTCAAATAATCAAGCAATTGTTTTTGTAACCTTGAAAAAATTATGGCTATAGAAGATAACCGAAGTCACAAAGATTATCTTAGGAGGATGACTTTTGCAGCGTTTTTGAAATCTGGTTCTCTCGCCGGCGAGGAAGAAACTTACCACAGCGACGGTGATCATCATAACCAAAACACGTTTAGCAGCAACAGCGATTCTCAGCGTCCAAGCAACGCCTCAAGTGGTAGTAGCGATTCATCATCACCAATCTACCCATTATCTCCATGGAACCAAACTTACTATCCAAGCAACGACAACACGACGTCGTTTTCATCTGCTACTCAATCACCATGGAACCAAACTTACTCTCCGTACCACAAATCTCCATGGATTTACCAAACCAGGAACAGTGATTTCGAGGATGATCCTGATAACGGTTTAATCGGTACGGTCGTGAGACAAGAAGGACACGTGTACTCTCTTGCTGCTTCAGGTGATCTTCTTTTCACCGGTTCTGATTCCAAGAACATTCGGGTTTGGAAAGATCTTAAAGATTTCTCCGGGTTTAAATCCACAAGTGGTTTTGTTAAAGCGATTGTGATAACCGGAGATAACCGGGTTTTCACCGGTCATCAAGATGGTAAAATCAGGGTTTGGAGAGGATCAAAGAAGAACCCAGAGAGATATTCACGAGTCGGAAGCTTACCAACTCTTAAAGAATTTCTCACCAAATCGGTAAATCCAAGAAACTACGTCGAAGTCCGTCGCCGGAAAAACGTTTTGAAGATCCGACATTTTGACGCCGTGTCGTGTCTGAGCTTAAACGAAGATCTCGGTTTGCTCTACTCCGGTTCTTGGGACAAGACTCTTAAGGTCTGGAGATTATCCGATTCAAAGTGTTTAGAATCAATCGAAGCTCACGACGACGCCGTTAACACGGTGGTTTCCGGATTCGACGATTTGGTATTCACTGGATCAGCCGACGGAACGTTGAAAGTATGGAAACGTGAGCAACAAGGCAAAGAGATGAAACATGTTTTAGTACAAGTGTTGATGAAACAAGAAAACGCTGTAACGGCGTTAGCTGTTAATCTAACGGACGCTGTGGTTTACTGTGGTTCGTCTGACGGTACCGTTAACTTCTGGGAACGGCAAAAGTATTTAACTCACAAAGGAACGATTCACGGCCACCGTATGGCGGTGTTGTGTCTCACCACCGCCGGGAGTTTGCTTTTGAGCGGCGGAGCTGATAAGAATATTTGCGTTTGGAAAAGAAACGGCGACGGATCGCATACGTGTCTGTCCGTTTTGATGGATCATGAAGGACCTGTTAAGTGTTTAACGGCGGTGGAAGAGGCGGAGGAAGATAACAACGACGGAGAACACGGTGGAGAGAAAGGGGATCAACGGTGGATAGTGTATAGTGGGAGTTTAGACAACTCCGTTAAAGTGTGGCGCGTGACGGATTACGCTTCGTAAGCGCGTGAAGAAGTATACGTGTGGACAACGTAGGAGCGTGAAGGGATGTTACGCGGCCATGTAGTTGTGTAGCGTTTTATCGTCAAAGGAGGAATTGATTGGGAGGCAACTAGTTGGTAGATTTTGGTACTTGTGATGACCAATAGTGAATTGTCACGTTTCTTTGGAAGTGTGAAAAAGTCTTTGTCTCCTTTTGATGTTGCGTTAGATCTTGTCTCTTGTCTCTTGTAATTCGCATGCACTTATTTTAAATCATGTGAAACTAAAAGAGGAAAGAAGGTGGAGGAAAAAAGGAAAGTAAAGATTCCGCTACAATGAGAAACAAAAAAAGATAAAAGAAATGTAATAAATGTGACTATGTAAGTTGTTTGTATATTTTTATTATGGGGTCTTTATTCTCTATGGTTGTTGTCATTGTTGAATGTGAAAATTCTCTCTTTTTTTAATTCTAGGTTGTTATTATACGTTATTTTGGAAATTTGGAATATAACATTGCAACTAAAGATTTGTAATACGTAAGATGGATTTGTTAGTTCAGATTGTTGAAAAGGAAGTGACCCTTTGGATTAAAATTTGATATTTAATTGTTGATGAACATACGCAAGATGTTATCTGTCTATTGATTAGTTTGTTTTTAGAGATGATCAGTATATTAGAATTTAAAAAGGTTCGCGAAGTAATAAGCAAAACCGACCTTAGCTCAGTTGGTAGAGCGGAAGACTGTCGTGTAAGCGACAATCTTTAGGTAGCTGGTTCGATTCACCGAAGGTCGATTTTTTTTTATTTTTTTTTCATTACATTTTTGAGAATTTTCTGTAGAATGAAAATAAAAAGCCATAGTCCGTATAAAAAACAAACCAATTCTATTTAGTACTAATGAGTAATTGATTAATTTCGTCGATTTGCAACGTTAGAGTATCTCCAATGGTAAGAACTCATCACCTAAAAAATCCTAGGTTCTTACCAATATTTATAATTCAAATTTTGCAAATCCAAAAGTTTAGAAACTCATTAGGAGTCTTAATTTTTATCTTCTCCAATGGTAGAACCTTATTAGAGATTCTTAAAAATTAAATTTTTGAAAATTTGTGTTTAGCTGTTTTGGTTCTTAAAAATTCGAAGTGTTTTGAAGTGATTTGGTTCTTAAAATTTTTGAAGTATTTTGAAGTATTTTGGTTCTTCAAAATTGGAAGTGTTTTGGTTCTTTAAAAGATTGGTTACAACTCATATATAACAAAATGTATGAACATAAAAGAATATTTGAGTGTATGAACATAAAAATTTGGTTACAACACATAAAAATTTGGTATGTGAAATAAAACACAAACATATACATTGATGAGATCATGACCATGCATAAAGGGTATGATAGTAGAAAACAAAATGGAGAAAAAGTTTGGAAATTTGGAAAATGAAATAAAACATCTCATATATAGTCTTGAGGAATTTACAACACTTGATATAAAGGATGATATTTTGAGCTAAAAAAAAACCAGAGAGAGGATGAAAATTATTTAGTTAAAAGAAAGAAAGATTGAAGGAATGACATGGCCTGTGTTAGATTCTTTTGATATCCTTCATTTGAATTCATGAATGGCCTCAAAAAGGCTCTTCTTCTTCTTCCTCCTTTGATTCAGCTGCTCCCTAATATGTCTTTGTATGTGTTCTTGACCTTCTGAAACAAAGCTTCCTTGAAACAGATACCAAACAATTTTCTCGAGAGTATGAGTCTTATATTCTCAATACTACATGAAAACAAACACAGGGTTAAAGCATTATATCTAATTAGGTTATAGAGAATTAGTTAACTTGTTTGGTTTGAAGACCATGTTCTTGTAAGTGAACCACTGCCATAGAAAAACCAACATAAATAAACCACATGTTAAGGTCCATCACAAAAATGAAAACAAGCTACTAAACAAGTCTTAAATATAAATGTAAGCTGAATGTTATGTATTGATAGAAATGATTTACAATATATATAGGCTTAACCATATGGTTTAAGATATTACTAATTACATTAATACCCTTCCTTTACACCTTTTCTTTACACACACTCTCAAGATGGAGACAGTTCCTTGACTCCAATCTTGCTGATCGTTTGTAGAAACATGTGACACACGAAGAGCCCCTAATTGTATATGTCCTCGCACAAAGTGATAATCGAGAGCCACATGTTTAATTCTCGAGTAAAATATCGGGTTGGCGCATAGGTAGGTAACGCCCATATTATCACAATAAATGATCGGCGCATGCGGTAACGAGATTCCTATCTCAGACTAGAGAGCATATCAATTGTAGTTTCGAGGCCGTGTTTGCCACTGCACGGTACTCGTCCTCTATCGAAGATCGTGAGGCACTTCTTGGTTTTTTGGATGACAACAATATCGGACTGAAACCAAAATAGATGATATATGCATTCGTGGACAAGTAATCTCTGGTATCTCCAGCCCCTTAATATCGAAATAGGTTTCACATCAAGCATATGCGTTTTCGCGAGAAGGTCAATGATATATTTTCTTTACATCAAGTGGAGACCGTGTTTGGTGCGTGTTGCTTCGATACCCAAGAATCTCAATTCTCCTAAATCTAATGAGAACCGAGCTGCAAGAGAGACATGGAAGCTTTTGACCAGAGAATCATCACCCACAATTATGATATCATCGACATATACTAACACATAGAGATAGGCATTCTTGCGTTTGTAGATGAACATTGATGTATCAGCGAAGGAGGTTGTGAAACCAGATTGCACAAGAAAATTCTGGAGTCCTTGATACCACGCTCGAGGTGCATGTTTCAACCCATACATCACTTTAATGACAAACATGGTGAGGTCGATCCCGATCGATAAAACCATGGTGCTACTAGACATAAACCTCATCCGTAAGTGTGCCTTGTAGGAAGGCATTGTTGATGTCAACCTGGTGAATGTTTCAGTTTTGTTTAACTGTAGCTCCAAGAATTAGATGGATAGTTGTAGTTTTGATAACCGAAATGAAAGTCTCCGAGTAATCTAATCCGTACTACTGTTTGAATCCGCATGCAACGAGTCTTGCTTTGTACCTTTCAATAGAACCATCATGATGATATTTTAGTATAAAAATCCACTTACAGGTATTGATATTCTGCGTAGTTGTTGGCGCTTCTAAGTCCCACATGTGATTTCTGATTTGTGCATTTATCTCTTATGCCATCACATTTCTCCAATTGGGATCCTTCATTGCATGCGCCACAGTGGTTGGAATTGTTGGTTTTATGGTGGCTATGAGGCTTAGCTTGTTTTTTCGGTAATATGGTTTTTAGCTCGTATTTTCATAGAATGGTTATTTTGCTATAGTGGAGGTAGATTGGGATTTACAGGTAACAGTAAACCTGTGAATGAGGGTTCTGTGTGGTTAGAATTTTTGGAATGTGGAGTAATTAGGTTTGATGATGATGGAGAAATTGTTTGGGTTTGGATCTGGTATTTGTGGGCTTGTGCTTAAGTTTGTTTGGTTTAAGTGAAAGGAACCATGTTCCAATATTAGAGGTGAGGCTGAGGATGGTGAATGTGACGTAGGTGTCGTCGGAGGAGACGATTCTGCATGTGACAAAGGAGTATGAGATGACAGGGTTGATAATGAAGGAGGAACCAACGACGCAGATGACATTGGTTAAGCAGGCGACGAAGGCTGAAGAACCGAGCACGGAGGCGACTGTGAATGAACTGTGTAAGTAGGCACGGACAGCACTTGAGATAGACTTGGAGAGAAACAGATTGGTTCCTCTTGAAGTGATTTGGTTCACGGAGCTTGTAAGCTGAAAGGAAAACTCGTTTCCACAAATTGAACATGTCAGGAAGTGTAAAGCCGTCTGCTTCGAATATCTAAGCATAAATAGGCACTTTGCATTAACGAGTACCCAACAAAAACACATGGTGTGGCTGTTCGATATGGTCGCAACCATTGATAGCATACGCAGCCAAACACGCGGAGCTTCATATAGTTTGGTGGTTGATTGAACAACTTGGCACTAGGAGACATGCCACGTAATACCTTGGTCGTTTTTCTATTGATCAAATACACCGCAATAACAAATGCATAAGGCCAATATGCCTTGGGAACCGATGCATGTGTGAGAAGGGTGAGACCCGTTTCCACAATATGACGATGTTTTCTCTCGGAGATGCTATTATGTTCTGGCGTATTTGGTGGCGTGGTAAGATGAGAGATGCCACGTATCGTCAAGTACGACTGCAATGTAATAAATTCGCCCCCATTATCCAAATATTAGGTGAGAATCCGACTCTGGAAATAGGTCTCCACAAACTCTTTAAATGCAACGAACACCTCTTTTACTTGGTTTTTTTTGTTTCAATTGACATAGCCATGTATATCTAGTAAAGTGATCAACAATAACCAAATAATACATGAAATGATCTTCATAATTTTATCGGAGATATCCAAACATCGTTATAAATATATTGAAAAGGTTTGGTAGAGGTTATTGTGTTTCAGTGAAATGGTAATTTATGATTTTTATTGATGAAACAGTCAAAACACGACAGTTGTTTTTGCTAGGAATTTGAAAGAGATAAAGAAAATTGGGAAACAACAGCTTTAAGAACCGGTAAAAAGGGATGACCTATAAAATCAGCCAACCCAAAGATTATCTATATATATATAAACATGGTGAGGTCGATCCCGATCGATAAAACCATGGTGCTACTAGACATAAACCTCATCCGTAAGTGTGCCTTGTAGGAAGGCATTGTTGATGTCAACCTGGTGAATGTTTCAGTTTTGTTTAACTGTAGCTCCAAGAATTAGATGGATAGTTGTAGTTTTGATAACCGAAATGAAAGTCTCCGAGTAATCTAATCCGTACTACTGTTTGAATCCGCATGCAACGAGTCTTGCTTTGTACCTTTCAATAGAACCATCATGATGATATTTTAGTATAAAAATCCACTTACAGGTATTGATATTCTGCGTAGTTGTTGGCGCTTCTAAGTCCCACATGTGATTTCTGATTTGTGCATTTATCTCTTATGCCATCACATTTCTCCAATTGGGATCCTTCATTGCATGCGCCACAGTGGTTGGAATTGTTGGTTTTATGGTGGCTATGAGGCTTAGCTTGTTTTTTCGGTAATATGGTTTTTAGCTCGTATTTTCATAGAATGGTTATTTTGCTATAGTGGAGGTAGATTGGGATTTACAGGTAACAGTAAACC